GGCAGTATCCTTACAGGGTCCTCTTAAAAAGGAGGCAAGAGGGTCAGAGTCAGAGATAGAAAAGGCTGAGCTGCTGGCTGTGAAGATGGAGAAAGGGGCCACAAGCCAGGGATATGGTGCCTCTAGAAGCTGGAAAAGGCTGGAAACGTCCAACCCCCACAGCAAGAACAGGGTGTTTCTAGCAGTCAGTCCCACTAGCATGTACTGTAACAGGAAGGAGATAGAAAACCACCGGCAAAATCTCAAGGCCTTGTTTCCTTAGCAAAATGTTCTGCGCTGATTTGGAACCCATGGGCCTGGGTTCAAATCCCAGCTCTGCCACCGGCAGGGTGACCATGGGCCACCTACCTTCACTTGTACGCTCTGCCCATTTCCAAGCAGGACGAGGCAGGCCACCTGGGGGCTCACTGCAGCCTTCATAAGGAAATGAGGGCATCACCTTACATGTACACGCATGAACCCAGGTGACCAAACCTCAGTGTCCTCCCGGGGTGTCAACAATAAAATGACCCTCAGGCAGAAGGCCTGGCTGGGCTGATAGCCAACTAACAACTCATGTGGAAACTGAGCACTACAAAATTAAGGTTAAAAAAAAAAAAAAAGAAGCCCTGGCCGGGAGGCTCAGTTGGTTGAACCATTATCACATATACCAAAAGGTTTCAGGTTCAATTCCCAGTAAGGGCACACACCTAGGTTTCAGATTTGATCCCCAGTTGGGGCACATATAGGAGGCAACAGATCGATGTTTCTCTCTCTCTCTCTCAAAATCAATTAAAAAAAACACACACAAAAAAAACCTGAGTGCCCTGTCATCCCCTCAGTGCCAGGAGGCGACTCCAACAGCCATTGTGGGAGAAGGAATGTGAGGTGGGTGTCTGCAGTGGTCATAATGGGTCTGATCACCCCGGGGACACCTCCCAGAGGAACTGAGACACAAACCCCTAGGGCCCCCAGGAAAGACTCACCTGACATTTCCAATGTGATGACCTGGTGAGGCTGAAGCCTGCAGCCACCTGGAGGGGAAACAGCAATAATCAGGGGGTCCCCATGTCCGATGGGTTACCCTGACACCAGCTGCAGGCCTGTGCAGCTGCTGTGGCTAGAGTTCTAACCTCCAGGGCTATCCACAGAGGAGTCTAGACTCTTGCCTGAAAGGCCATACCAAACGTGTGACCCATCATTACCTCACCTCAGAACCTCCTGGGCAGCATCTGCAATGGTGGGAGAGGACGGGTCAGGTGCAGCCCCCTGCCATCCACAGGCCAGCCTGGACCAGGACATTCCTAGGATCCCAGTGACCACTCCTACTGCCTTCCTGCCACCTCATCCTCCCCACCCTTTATCCACAGATAACTCTGAGTGCGTCACTATGGCTGTAGTGCCTAACTTCCAAATCACCGAGACTGGGTTCATACAACCTCTCTGGTCTGCAGTTTTCACCCTATGAGCCTTGCAAGGCTAAGGATCCCACTGCAACCCAAGAGAAGCTCCAGGAGACCACTGGCACCAAAAGGGGCCAGGAGCTATGCTTGAGGCTGGGCACTAGGAATGTGTTCCTCACCTAGAGTCCAGGCAAGAAGGTTCCAGTGGCGAGTTCCATGGGGCCCACCCCTAAGCTTAGCAATGTTCCCACTGAGACTCTCTGTCATGCCCTGGCTGGCTCTCCCTGCGGGACTGGCAGGCTCATGCCCCACCTGTGTCTGACAACTGCACTAGCTCCCAGGTAGAGCTCCCACATGCCCTACCCCCACAGGATGGGAGCGTCCCCGGGGCATGAGGGTCCGCTTGGGACAGGGATGTCCTGGAGTCACTGCAGTGCCTTTGTGGTCAGACAGTGCATGGTTGCTGAATGAACAAGTCCTGCACAAACAAGTTGGCTCTAGTGTTTACTGTTCTGTGGCAGTAAACCTTTGGGGACCCCTCTGGCCAACTGAGGAGTGGAAATGGGATAGCCCTAAAGGGGCCTTTCAATCAACCGAGTACAGCCACACCCTAGCCAGCCACACCCTTCTTTCTAGATCCAGAACTGGGGCAAAGCTCTGCTCACATTTTATTCAGAGGATCTCCTCCCATTATTATGTACACCCAGGCCCTCCATGGAAGCAGCCCCACAATTATCAACAGACACCAACCTAGTTTGAAGGCTGTGTTTATTTTCATGGGTTGGACTTGAGATAAAGGGGACACAATCCTAGTGTACCTATAGGCTCAGGGTGAAGGTGGCAGAAAGAGTGAGGCCTGAGTGCCCAGTGATGAGGCCCGGCTGGGGCCCCATTAAGCTCCAGTCCACAAAAAAGCTTGGTCCAGCAGAAATGCAGCACCGCACACCACTGGGAATGGTGTGGGCATGGATTCTGGGGCTGCGAGGCGTGTTCCTAAAATCCACAGACAGGATCACAGCCCCTAGACAACAATGAGGGAGCCAGGGCCCAAGTTGATCTGAGAGGAGGCTGAGGCTGGCAGAGCAGAGGACAGTCTGAAGCTAGCAAGCATGGCACCTATGTGTCGGGGTCCAGCTGGCGGCACTGAGCCTCCAGCACACCATGGAACACCTGGAAACGGTGGTTGAGGTCAGGCTGCGCATGGATTCGGAAGCGGGTGCCCAGGGCACCATCGGGAGAGGGTGCCCCATAGAAGACACGCTGCACACGGGAATGCACCAGGGCCATGGCACACATGGCACAGGGCTCACGGGTAATGTAGAGGTCGTAGCCAGTGCACACATAGGGGAGGCCGTCCTCATCCGTGTCCATGTCCTTATCCAACGTGCGCACAGAGATGGCCTGGACGCCCTGGGAGGCAGAGACTGGGGTGAAAGAGCAGGCGGGGTGGGGCCTGAGGTCATAGTTGCCTTGACCCTGGCCCTGGGCCACCAAGTCAATGCACACCATGGTGGCATGCAGCAGGGGGCTGGCTGAGTTGCTGCAGTCGTGGCCAGTGGCCAGCACCTGGCCTGAGGCAGGGTCTACCACCACAGCCCCCACAGCCCTCAGGCCCCTGATGGCTGCCTGTTGTGCCACCCATACAGCCCGCTCCATGTGGCCCTGCATTTCAGCCTGCTCCTGTGCTGAGAAAAGCCGCCCGGCCAGGGCACGGGTCACGCGCTTGTCCTCATGAAAGGATGTGGGCCAGTGGGCACGTGCCTCCTCAAACTGGCCCCTGGTCAAGGGGGGCCAGGCAGGTACAGGCACCAGAAAGGGCTGCCCCAGGCCTCGGGGGTCTACTGCCGGCTGTGGGAGGAGCTCAGCCAGTGATCGAGCGCCTGCAGCCGGCCCTGCCAGGCACAGCAGCATCTCTAGCACGTGTGGACGGCTGGCATCAGAGCTTGGCCGAACCCTTTTAAGGTGAGGCTGTGCGGGCAGTGGGTGGACAGCCGACACCTCCTTGAGGAGACGTGAGGTCTGGCGCTTGTCGAGGATGGGCGCAGCGTAGGCCAGCACTAGCTCCATGTCCCTGGACTGCTGCTCCGACAGAACAGGAAGGGCTTGCCACAGCGTGGGCTCTCGATTTGGGCTCCTGGCCTTCTCATCCTCACACTGCTCCATGCTGCCCAAGGGGTCCATCCTTGGCAGGGCTCCGACTGTGGGAGACAGAGATCGGAGCAGAGCATCATCTGTCAGCCACAGGAGGCCTGGGTGAGCTGAGGAGTCCATCCTAGGAGTGTGCCGACTCTGAGGGCTCATCCAAGAGCTCTAGCCCAAGTAAAATGTATCAGTGGTCATGTTCTCACTCAGGTCCTACTAACTCTTGGTTTGCAGAGTTTAAACCGCCATTGACTTTTTTTCTTCCTTTTTCTTTGAGATGTGCCATGAGTAAAAATGCACACTGGATCTTGGAAGAAAAAAACGTAACTATCTTATTGTTTTTATACTGACTATGTGTAGAAGTGATGACAATGCGTGTTTTAGGTTAAACATTATTAAAATTAACAGCACCTGTTACTTTGTACTTTCTAAAAACATGGTTTCTAAAAAACTTAACCTTATGTATGTGCCTCATATTATATTCCTATTGGTCAGGGCTGCATTGGAGAATGTTACGAGATAAGTCACAGATAACCTCAACTGGATTCAGAAAGAGCTCAGGCGCAGCTGCCTACCCAGAACACACTGCCCAGACCAGTACTTGGAGCAGACCAACCCCTCCTGCCTCTTCTCTATGGATAAGAAAAGTGTTGAAATCATTTTACAACTGTGGGCTTTTACTGCTCATGATGTACCCAAGGCTTACTCCTCAGTTCCATGTGCCCCCGTTTATCAGCCAGGCCCTTGAGAGGGCACATGAGGTCCTTGCCCACAGGTGTCTTAGGCTCACAATACAAGCTTGACAAACATACTGAACCAGGGTGCCAGTGGAACTCTTCAAGGGTGCCCCTCATGTGCCCACAATGCCCGGGCTGGGCAGGGCCCATAGGAGAGTCCACAGTGCCAACTCTGAATCCGCTCCCAGCACACACCATGCCCAGGACCCCACGCCCCACACAGTCTGTCCTGGGCCACAAAAGCTCTTACTATATGTAGGGCAAAAGACAGACACCATCTTATTTGTCCCTCTAAAAGTGATACCTCCGTTTGAGCAAAACAAAACAAGAGGCAAAAAATGGAGGCTGCCTCTGGGACACATCTGGATGAGTCCTCGGGAGGACGGACAAGTATCAAAGGATGGTCACTATTTGACCCAGCAACTCCCCTCCACTCCTAGATATGTGCCCAGAAAAACTAAAAACACACATCCACATAGAAACCTGTACACTCATGTTCACAGCAGGAGGATTCACAACAGCCAAAAGGTGGAAGCAACCTGTGTCCATCAACAGATGACGCATAAACACAATGTGGTCCATGCATACACTGGAATATTACTCAGCCATGAAAAGGAATGAGGCACTGACATTCATTACAGTGCAAAAGGACCTTGAACACATGATGCTCAGTGAGAGAAGCCAGACACAAAAGGCGACACAGTGTATGACTCCATTAATGTAAAATGTTCAGAACAAGCAAATTCAGAGAGACATAAAGTAGATTAGTGGTTGCCAGGGACTGGGGGTGGGGGTGACTGCTAATGGGGACAGGTTTGTTTTTGGGGTGATGGAATGTTCTGGAGTTTGATAGTGGGAGTTAGATAGTGATGATATTTCCACAACCCTGTAACTATACTAAGAACCACTAAAATGTTAGGCTTTAAATGAGTGAACTGCATGGTATGTGAACTGTATCTCAGCACAGCTGCTATGAAAAAAAATGGGGAGGAGAAAGGATATCTGGCGATTAGTACGTCAGCAGACCCCAAACAAGGCCCAGCACCTCAGGTGGCAGTTGCCTTTATGTAATACCATGTGTTCTCATACAATACCATGTGTCCTCACACTTCCACAAATGGTCTCCCCTACTGCTCCCAATGACCTGAGAGGGAGAATATGGGGCTGTCCCCTTTTGATGGGACAAGATCAGGCTCCCTGAGGGGAGGGTCTTGACTAGGGCACACAGCTGGTGCCCATGAGCTCACCAATTTGCCTTCCGAGTCCCTCTATAACACAGGGGTCCTGAGCCCACTCTACAGATGAGAAATAAGGCAGGCTCCACAGAGGGTGATCCACCTGAGCCCCCAACCCAAAAGCCCCACAGGGATCGCCAGTCCACCTGTGAACAGAACCTGCACAAACATTTTTGCTTAAACACATCTGGGGATCTTAAGTATAGCACCCTGGCTGCCCCCACCACCCTCCCCTGCGAGCTCTCCCAGTTCCTGCCCAGTTCAGTCCCTTCCCTGGGTGCGTTCATCTCCTCTGCCTGCAGCTGTAGTTGCTTCCTAAAAATGTCCGTGCTCTGGTCTCCAGGGGGAGGCAGACAACCTGGTCACATTTATGGTCGTGGTGCCTCTGCCCTGAGTGCCAACTGTCCAGGCCAGAGAGGCTCAACTGCATTGGCAGCCCCTGGAGGGTCTGGTGGACCAGGGAGATGGACCCCTAACTGCAAGTCCCCTCAGCAGCTTAGGACCACCAGCTCCCCCAAGGCACCATACTGGAAAACAGGTGTGTGCTGGAATTCCTGGAGACCACTGGACAGCAGGGGGCTGAGGATCCCAGAAGTGGACTCTGGTTCTAGGAGGGAAATGGGAAATAGTGCATACTCAGTGAGCTGAGTCAGGCCCTGCAGGTGCCAATGTAAATCTCACACAGGTGGCCTTATCTTATCCTTGGATTAGGAAGGCCAGAGCCTGCACCTGACTAAGCCCTATTGCCGCTTTCCCCTCTGTGAAATGGGAATCTGACCCCACCATGCAGAGTGGTAGGTGCAGAAAGTAAGAGAGGACAAGTACTGTCCTGGACTGGTAAACAACCCTATAGCCCCTATGGAGCCCAGCGCCCTGTGGCAACAGGAGGTCTCTTCAGAGTCAGTGACCCACAGCAGGTCCTGGACCGCAGGTAAAGAGGGTAGAGAGACCTGAGTTGAAGGAATAGCCAGTGCTGGAGCCTCAGAGGCACCCAGTTTCTAATGCAGTTTCTAGGACATGGCTCTACTAAGAGGAGGGGGCCTAAATCTGCATTTCTAACAAGCTCCCCAGTGGAGTGCAGTCACAGATAACACATAGGATGCCCCGTTAAATTCGAATTCCAGATGAATGGAGAATTTTTTAGTATAAGTGTGCCCCATGCAATCTTTGGGAAATAGTTACACTAAAAAAAAAATAATTATTCGTCGTTTGTGGAATCAGAATTTAATGGGGCGCCCTGAGTGTTTATTTGCTAGACCCGGCACCCTTCAAGTGGGCCTTCTGTGCATGAAAGTTCGAGAATTTCGGGTTTGTGGGGTATGGGAGAGAACCCTTATCAGGATAAGAAAAGGCTTGAAAACTCACTGCCTATAAGTATCAGGAAGGATCTCAACGTTTAGGACGCACGGGAAGATTACGGACCTTCGTCTAAACCGTGCAAGAGGCTGGTCAACAGGCAGCCCAGTGGCAGGGGGCTAGCAGCTATCACCCGAAGCAGGGCGCGCCGGAAGCAGCTGAACGCACAGGGTCTTCTAAACTACGCTTCAGGGGCGCGCGCACGCGCAGAAGGGCGATGGTCGCAGGGCGCCGGGTCCCCAGACCCCACCACCCCGTGCGCACGCGCAGACGACGCTCCCTGTCCCGCCGAGGTGCGCGCAAGCTCGGCCAGGCTGCCCCTTTACCCCTGCGTAGCCGGCGGCCCACGAAGCCAAGACACCTGCGACCGCCCTCGCCCCACCTCCGCGGGGCCTGAGACACGACAGCCAAGAGCCCGAGACCCTGAGGCCGCGTGCTTACCTAAGGAGACAGGCGCGAGCGCTGCGCTTCACCAAGGGTTAGCAACCGACCCGCCTGCTCCGCCTCCGCCTGGCGTCGCTGGGCACGATGGGAACGTAGTTCCGGGGGCGGGGTTGGCGCCAGGGGAAGGCGGGGCCGGGACTACAATCCCCAAAAGGCCACCCGCGGCCTCCTCGCTCCGCCCCTATCCGGCGCTCTGGTTCCTTGACCCACTGGAGCACCAGGTGTGCCTGGTGCTGTGCGTTCGAGACCCAAAGGGGCGGTT